AAAATAAACAATAATGCATTTCTCACAACTCTCCTAACAAGATATCTAAAGCCTTCAAAAGTGAAAAGTTCGAATAGCAAACCGCTCAGAAAGCATAACTATAGAATATATAAATGAATTATCAGGTAAAGTAACAAGCAGCGTAGGCAGACAACTAAGTGATTTGCTTTAGAGGTAACTGTTTCATTTTCAATTTTGTAAAGGCATACAAGTTAACAGAACAGTATAGGTTTGCAAGCATCTGTATAGTAAACAAATGCAGTCCCTGTGAATGAATATAATTCAACATTTTGTGGTTATGTCAATAATTTAGGTGTTTTTCAATGATTTGGTATTTGACAATATAAAGAGATGCTGCCAGTCACATGCAGGCTATAGATTTTCCTACTGGCTAAGAACACTTTATTGGTCCATCTCATAATTGTCTTGAAATCCATACCTATTTTATATAGTAAGGATATTCTATTCTTTTATTTACAGATTTAAAACTTTGGAGTAGAAAATACATAAAATATTTTTCCTATAGTTTTACCCTCACTTACATAAATAGAAGGATCATATGCTGTCTGAGAAGAAAATGGTTATTTTTTTCTCCATATTATGCCATCTTCCTCCTTTTGAATATATATAGAGTAGTGGAAGTTAAAATGTACAAACAATCTAACCTAATAAATACACTATTCAAACCAAAAGATAAAAGGGAATTTGGGAAAGTCAGTCCTAACTACTGTAGCTGACTGAATGCCCTGCAGGTGAACACCACAAAGGCTGGTATCTGCTTTGGCAAGACTAAAGCAGCCATTGGTGTAGGCAGCACTATAGCATTCTGTCTTGAGATCTAGCAGCAGAAATATTAAGGTATGATGTGATGTGAGTAGTGGGTCACCTATTGAAACTTGTGCTTTTAACATAACAATTTAAAAATCAACAAATTCAGTAGACATAAAATGGAAGAGAATATAATGCATGAATCCAGGTTCATTAAACTAATGCATTTTTTGAAAAACAAAATATGACAGAACATTTCATTATGGACGCAGATATGAGAAAAAGTGTTATGCTGCTATTTAGAATGTGTCTTGTGTGTCGTGGAATTGAAATATTTCCAAATCATCAATAATTAAAATGATGAGAATCCATCATTTCACTGACACTTCTACATGAAAAGATGGCCTATTTTAAATGTGCTCACACATATTCTTGTCAATCACAAGCTGTCATAGCAAATTATTTCATTTTGTAGATCACATGGCAGTTAGTAGAAAATATCTAGGCTTAAATTTAGATCTTAGGTGTAGTATCAAGAATTCCTTTCATGCATTTTTTTCTGTGACTACATCTTTACAATACAGGATATAAAAGGTTTAAAATCTTATTCATAATACCAAGTTTCACTTCTTGTTAACAAAACTCAGGACTGAAATGAATCACTGTAAATGATCATTCTGAAAGCCCAGTAATAGAATAGGATATATAGGAGAGAGTAGAAATATAAAACCAAAAAATTTTAAAGACAATCAGAGCTCCATACAATAGAACTTGGACCTAACGAATTAGGTCTAAACAGTGTTTTCCCCTCATCTTATTTAAGATATTCAGGCAATCACAGGGCATGAACCATTTATTATGCTATGTTTGCATTACTTACATACAGCTTCCAGCAGTTATAAAGGAGCTGAACTCATAAACCCCATGGATCTGATCCAAGATCCATGTGCTGTGTCACAATTAAGCAGAAGATTCAGGAAACTGTGAATAAAACCTAAACCACATGGCCATGAATCAGAAAACTTAATATGCCTTTTCAAACAATTCATTAACTGCATACTCATAATTTCAATGAATTATTAATAAATGTAAAAACTTTAAATGCCAGAAGTATAATACCTAATAAGGCATCATTTTCAACAGTATTTATATAAAATATTTCTATGTTCCTGATCTTTTCCTTATACAATTAATATTTCTGATTAAATATTCAACTTTAAAATGTAAGAATCATTCTAATACTGCATTTCAACAAGGAATGCTTCATGTCAGTCTTGACCTTGGCCTGACCTCCATATGAAAGCTTTGTGTTTCAAGGTATGTGATGAATAGCTCTGTGGCTTTCTATTAGATCCAATGCCACTGGTTGTCAACAGTGATGCTCAAAAGGCGTAGTAAAATAGTTAAAATATCAGAGAAGTTCTGTCGGATTTTTTCTGTCTTAGTAAGTCTGGAAATCGTTCTTAGGCAACTTCCTCTATCTACATTGCTTTTCCAATGAATAACGAAAACCAATGAAGTATGAAAATATAATGGCCAAAATATATACAGACTTGTTTGGCCTTCCAATGCCAGAAATAAAATAAGATCCATTTGATTTATGTTGTAAAATAGTTTTCTCAGTTTGAAGGATTTATAACTTACCTACTCAGTTTAAGTTCCTTAAAGGCCAGGACTTTTATTCCTATGCTGGGGCACACATAGTAGGTACTCAGTAAAAATATGTTTTTTTAAATTAAATCAAAATTTAAATCAGAGATGAAAGAATAATGATAAAAAATAAATCAGACTATGAGCCACAGCTTTTATCTTTCTCTGACCTGGCCTAGTATCTAGCACATATAGACTCTCAATAAATGTTTATTGAATGAATAAAAGTCTGTAAATTAAAATAATGACCAGTTACCCATTGTATATAAAATATTTATGCTCATTTAGAAAGATACATCAGTAACAATCAATTCTGCCAACTGTTTTCCCCTATTTACCTTTAGCATGTTCAATTTTCCAACTTCTGATCATGTATCTTTAAGTTTATCTACCACTTTCAAAGTTATTCATACAAGTTTTTATTTTAATGGTACATTTGTGGCTAGTTGGAAAATTATCGATTTATCTATAAAACAGACGACAGAAAGGTAATCTTCAAGCTGGTTTTGGTGGTTTGAAGAAGTGTATGTGAATATGTGAGTGATATATTACATATCACTCACATCAAGTTAAATGTTACCTTTCATATATAAATGTATATATATTTACATTTATATTCTTAACATTCTGAAAGAAACCAAACATCATTGTTTAAGCTTATCTATAAGCTTAACTTGGATGAATGGCTTTTCCCCATTATACTTATCCTAACTCTTTTTAATGGACATGAGATATGCTAATCTGTGTCCAAGCTCACCTACAATTTCTTTTCTCAAAAGACAAGGCACATCTGCCACCTGCTCTACTCCGTGTCCCAGCAACAACTGTCGAGCAGCATAAAGATTGATTATCAGTCAAAAACCATTGCACAACACCAGATTTTGGTGGGTTAAGCTTGCTGATCCAGCAAGAGATGGTGTGAAATTTTCAGGAATGTGTGCCAACATTTTGGTGCTAAAAGAACAGCAGTGCATGTCACAGTGAAACACAGCCAAAGATATGCAGACAAAGCAGAGAAGTTTTTTGTTCTGGACTTGGCTTTTGAAAAGGATAAAAGAGAAAACAAAAAGTAGGAGGAAATTAGTTAGTACATTTAAAAATCATCCACCAAGCTCAGTCATGTGTGTGACATTATTATTTTAGGAATACATGTCCAGGAGATTTTCTTCTTAGCTTAGCTGTAAATAAGTTTTATATGTCTCTTCCACAATACCATTATTCATATAAAAGGCAAGCATTTCTTATTAATAACAATAATCAAGGATCTTAATGAAGCAATCATTACAAATATATCTGAATTTTTTAAAGTCACAGAAAAGTATTTGCCCACTGAGACTTATGTTTTTATATAAGCAAATGATTCAACTAATATAAAATTAAGGCAGCCAGCCATATTTTAAACTTAAAGCAAAATGTGAAAAATATATGAGTCTACACTATCAGATAGGTAATTTTCAATGAGCATTATAGCAACAAGCTTCTTCACAAGAACCAAATAATCTTAAATTTTCTATTGAATTCAAGAAATTGCTTATTTCCTGAAGATCAAGTTTATACAAGAGAGAAATGCTAGTATGACTTTATACAATAACATTAACAAAAGGGAGATTTTCATCACTTCATCTGTAATGAACTCCAGAATTACTTTTATTCTACTTATGCAATTACTGCCTAGACTTGCCTTTGATTCACTAGCTTTATAGAAGTTGCAGGAAAAAATTACTTCTAATAAAGTATAAAAAGCATAGGAAAGTACAGCAGTCAGACACACTGAATTTTTATGGCAAAGTCCTTATTCCTCATGTTATTTAAATCTGATTACCATACATAGCACTTGATACCAAACTCTGGGTACAACATGCTTGGAAGAATATTCTTAGATAGTAGTGCTTTTATTTCTCTCTTAAAATGTATTCTTATCTACTGAAGAAAAAAATAATGTTTTTTTTTTTTTAATTTTAGAAAATCTCCACATTTCTGAAATGTTGAAAGAAATGAACTTTTTGGCAAACCTTAATTGAAAATATGTGTAGGATTGTATTATACATTTTAAGGTAAAAAATAATCAAGCTGGAACATTTATTATGAAATGTGTTATTAGAAGAATCATATGTATATAAGAAATGTATGTTCATTATTGGCCACATTTTCATAATTATGTTGATACTATCTGAAAAAACACCAAGAATGTAAATGAATAAATGATACTTAAAACTTTGAACTATTTTCTGAGAGAATAAGTCTAATGAATTATGTCTATCGAGTGTCACAGAAACTAAACAGTAAATTCAATAATCTCTGATTTAATTTATTATATTTTCACCATTTAACCTCCTGCAGGCTCCCTAATGTCTATTCAGATCTATATTAAATTAAGCACCAATGCTAATGAAGGGCAATAAACGTGGCTGTCAGTGGATTTTTCTTTCATTAAGCACATTATCCTCTTACTGAGCTGTAAATGCGTAAACATTAGTTTTGTTAAACCATGCAAAAAAGACAGGATGAAAATCATTTTTTAATTGCACCCCTTAAGCAATTCAGTATGTGTGGGGGTAGGGTGTTTTTTAAATCTTTTTTACCTTTAATTTTTTTGAGTGGATTTAAAAAGGGCTCTCCCGTTGAAACATAAACATCGGCTTCATGGGGTATATCTTCAGGTTTGAGGGCTTCCTTGCCGTCTGCCAAGAACACTCGTCTTGCGGCCATGTTCAGATTCAGCTTTTCTGTGCACTGTTCCAGCAGCTAGAAGAAAGCAAGAGGTAAGTCAAAGTGATTTACGACAAAGAAAGTAATATATTTTCCTCAAAACGAAAGGTTCCAATGATCAAAATAGAAACCCAACTGAGTCACTTGCCAAGTTTAGTAACTTGACCAATACAGTTATTTTCTAGTAGTTGAAAATATAGAAATAAAAGGTAAGTCACAGCATGAAGCATATCTAATTATTGACTAATTTTAATATTTAAAAGATCTGTCATTTTAATAACTGTACAAGGTATAATGCCATTGCATCTGTTTAATTAAATACACTATTTATATATTGAATTTTTTTTAAAAAGAGTGAAATTCCTATGAAATCTACATATATACAAGCAATCTGCAGATTTAGATTCTTAAAAAGAAAATATTAACAATAATTTTCTCAATTTTTATATTATAAAGAGAGTAAGGGAAAAAAATAAAGCTCAGAAAACTTTGGAACACTAGTTACCAAGGTGATGGTTGGTACAGTAACTTTGGCAAAAACTGTTCTAGATCCATTTTTGTAAGCTGTTACTTTAATCACTCTTGGTTGAAGTTTGTGTCTTTGAGACAATCTCTGCCAATTCCAGGCTGACTGAAATTTTAAAGAAGAGAACTCTGCAACCCTGAAGAAAAAGAAAAACAGAAAAATTGATGCATGCTAATTAGTAAAAACATTTAAATAAATATTATCCTGGAATTTTTTAAACAGATATAAGCACTAAAGATTGTTCCTATGTATGTAAGTATACCTAACAAAACTTTTTATAGGATAAGATTGTTGTTACAGAGTAACACTGTCACTATTTAAATATTCAAAAAAATTTTAAACACGGTGTTTGCCAAAACTGCTCATATAAAACATATATATCAGAATAAATGATTTTTTATCACTTTACTTATAAAACACAACAGTCCTTTAAAAATATATATATCATATGCAACTAAAAGTTATATATATATGATATGTTCTGATACCAAAAAATAGTAATATGGTCTCAATATCATGAAACAGCAAATGGCTAAGATTCTACACAAGTTTTCATGTTTATCAAAGTTCTTTAATTTTTTAAAAAATGATTTAAAATTCAAAAATATTTTGATTTTAAAATTTTGATTCCAAGTTTAATTGTATTGCTCTTATTTCAAATTGTCTGGAAGTGGTGAAAGTGAAGATTTCTAAGTTTCATCTTCGGGCAAAACTAATTTTGATCTTTATGATTTTTCTCAGCAGAAGTATGTGGTAAACTAACATGTCAAATTTTCTTCATAATTCTCTAACCAAGTTAATTTGTAATGCCACAGAAGAAGAGTAAACATTTTAAAATAAAAATGTCACGTAAGTTAAAAACACAACATATTCACATATTCAAATATCTGAAAATAATGGGGTATTAGTTTCTTGGCTTGATTGGTATTAGTTTTTACCAATATTTTCTTCTGTCTATGAACTCTTGTGTTAACAGTTTACGATAACAATCTTGACGTGAAAACATATTTACAAAATGGTTTTATAATAATGTCATTCAATTCTGTTTCAAACTATTGGTTAAATATCAAAAGAAAGCATTTTTATTTTTAAATAAGTTGGTGTGAGCAAAGATATTTCATGATCCTAGCTTGATTCTGCTTCAAATATTCTTTTCAGAGTTTCTGATTACCCAGGTTGAAATATATCTCATATTTCCCACAGTGTAATTAACAACATTCTACTCGAGTGCTTTCAAAGAAAAAAACAAAAACAAAACCATAGAGATGTGTTACATTTTAATGTCTGAGATAGTCAATTGAAACATTATAAATTCTGCTCAAAGGAAAGAACTTCAACAGTAGGTTAAAAAGAACAGAGAACAGCTTTGATTACCTCAGTTGACCCACTGGAGCACTGACAGGTCTGTTTCTCTTGGATGCTGATATAAAACAAGAATTATTTTTACTGTTTGATTTGTAGCTATCTAGGTCTGATATTTCATCACGGCTGTGATCTGATGCTGTTTGATGTGTGGAGTAATCCTGAAGTCCTGACCCTGCTGGTACTGCTGCTGAATGCACAAGTCTGTTGGGGCCAAACTGAGGCTGCAAATAATCATCAGTAGTTTTAATAACTGCTTTTGCTTGGGATGACATAAACTCTCTGGAAGAAACAATGCAGGGAAGAATATAATTAATTGACTTGTAATCATTTATTAACAAATATCACATAATAACGAGTTGTGTGCTATGTGCTACACAAAATACTACACACTTAGCCATTATTTTGTTTAATGCCTACAATATTCCTGGGAAGTGGTTATTATTTTTATTCCCAATTTACAGATTTAAGAAATTGAGACTCAGTAGGGTTAATTAATTTGCCCAATGTCACATAATCAGTAACTGACAAGGTGTAAATTTGAACCCAAGCCTGTCCTGAAATAAAATCCACATTCATAACCATTAAGCTTCATTGCTTTACTTAATTCAACCAAAAGGAAGCTTGCATAATGATTAAAACAATGTAAGTATAATTTTTAAATTCTTAGATCCACTTTATTTTCTAATACTTACTTAGCACTCTGCTGTTAAAAAATATGTGGGTCCTACCCTCAAGAAACTTGCAAACAATCCCCCAATAGAGAATATATGTTAAATAAACTGAAAATGAGTGTGTATTAACCTTAAAGATGAAAAGAACTCATTGAAGGCCATTTTAGAATGGATGGGAATAAAGTTGGTAAAGCCTTCACAGCAGACCTGAGATTAGCCTAACTAACTCATCTTAGTTTGTTCAGGACTATCCTGGTTTTGGCACTGATGGTCACACATTCCAGGAACTCCCTCAGTCTCAGATAAACTGGGTCAACTGGTCACCCTACTGATATTTAGGCAGGAAGAGTAGTATCTGGATGAACTATGATGGGTGAACAGGGGACCACATGACCTGGAAGAATATATTAATCTATGTAGACACCAAGTTGGTAGGATGAATAGGTATAGAATATACTGGTATGATAAAATAAAATAAGTTTAAAAATATTTGCAAATATTGAGCTCTGTGGTGATCAGGCATAGAGGATAGTCAGGTTCCATGTATTACTGTAATTGGAACTATCTTTGCACAAACCAAATCTGCTTCTTTCCAATTTGCTCATTCTTCAATAGTTATTGCATAATATAACCCCCCCCGAAACACACCCCCAATTATAAATTAACATATGTTCAGTGTTGAAAGCTCAGCAGGGACTGCCCCTCCTCCAAATCTTTCACATCCACAAATGTCATTACAATCACAATTATTTCTTCCAGCCTGCCCTCTTTATGCTCACAAACAAGTAAAATGGTCAATTATTTTCTCTGAAAAAATGAATGGTAGTCACACATCAGAGGGAAAACAGATGTTTGTGTGTGTGTGTGTGTGTGTGTGAGCTCATGCAGTGGACCCAGGGGAACTACACCTCTGGAATCCAAGCAGTTGTATTCTGCTGTTGTTGTTATCACATGTTTCTATCCAAGTCTGCCCTGGACTGAGTACAGTACTGGGGAGAGGAGCGGCCTTCCCTACGCTCTGAAGATCCAACCAGGTTCAAAACTGTGGCAAACAGCGCCTTGAAAGGGTCTTTGGACTCTAGCTCTGGCAAAGGTGGGACCTCCCTTCAGACCACCTAAGCCACTCAGATTTTGATAACAGTGGTGAGTGATGGCATGTGGTAGCAGTCATTTCAAACTGGCAGTGTTTCTGCAGCAACAGCAATGGAGCTTCACATGGTCACCAAGCTCTTCAACCTGGGGGAAGACCAGTAAACAGCCAGCGGAAAGAATCACAGATCTCATAAACAGTTCCAAGTTTCCAATAAATAGTTACTTGAAGAGCAGATTCCCATATTTTTTTAAAAAATGGAATTCCCTACTTAAAAGTAGAATAAGGTGTCTTTTTTAATGAATGTATTTTGTTCATTGTGAAATATTCTTATAAATATACTAATGATTTTAATATAATAATCCATTATTCCACCACCACAAGGCAAAAGGTTTTTATTTTTTCATATTCTAAAGTTATAATCCTGTTATATCCTCAATTCTATCGCCTTCTGACTAAATACTGTTTTTCACGGTATTCACTAAATACCATTATTCATGTTGCTCTATGCTCTGTATGGATTTTATTGGAATATAATATTTTATCAACTGTATTGATATAGCCCTCTTGTACCTAGTTATGCATAGGCTGTCTATCACTTTTGTTTGTCACACACATCTTCCCCCTCTTCTGGTAACAGCACTTGCTTTCTTTTGGGAATGCAAACTCTTCCCAACTCCACATCATCCTGATAGGGTAAAGACAAGAGATTATAGGAGATTTACCCAGTGAATAGTAAAAATAATTAAATTTAAACATACGGTTCAACTTTATAATTTATATCTGAAAGTGGGAGAAGGGGTAGTTTTTCATGTTAAAGAGTTAATATTATTGGTCCACTATGAACAGTCTTCAGCTTTGATTTGTTTTACAACATTGATGACAGGTTTTCAGTAATTGTTTGTTTTTTTTTTTTTTTTGAGAAGGAGCATTGCCCTGTCACCCAGGCTGGAGTGCAGTGGCGCAATCTCAGCTCACTGCAACCTCTGCCTCCCAGGTTATCACATGTTTCTATCCAAGTCTGCCCTGGACTGAGTTCTGCCTCCCAGGTTCAAGCAATTCTTCTGCCTCAGCCTTCTGAGTAGCTGAGACTACAGGCACATGCAACCACACCTGGCTAATTTTTTGTATTTTTAGTAGAGACGGTGTTTCACCATGTTAGCCAGGATGGTCTCGATCTCTTGACCTCATGATCCTCCCACCTTGGCCTCCCAAAGAGCTGGAATTCCAGGCATGAGCCACTGCACCCAGCCTCAGTAGTTCTTACAGAGTCTCAAACTCATCTTTCTTATAACAATTGATGTGTGTTTCATAGCTTGTTAGGTGTTGGAGAGGATGATCACATACCCTTGCAAAGCCAACTTGTTCCACGTGGGAATTAAACCCACATAGTCAGTTTGCTAAATTGGTGCTGGAATGAAAGGTGTTAGGTTCATTCAGCTTTCAAGAAGCAGAGAGGCACACATAGGCTTCAAGTGATAAGGCTTATTATCAAGATACATAGAAAGTTACAAAAGTAAATAAAACCACTCCTGCAGGGCACAAAAATTGGAAGGCCATTCATGGCTGTCGAGGATACACTAGTGACTTAATTCTAGTAGACTCCATGCTTTTTGACTCAGCACCTCCTATCTCTTTCTGGGTCTACCTGCCTCTTCTTCATACATCATGATTGCCTGATTTACCTCTATCCTCCTCCTCTTTCCTCATGGCTTCTGCTAACTTCCTCTATGTGTCTCATTTCTGTGCTAAATTACTTTCTTCAGTCTCTGTCTATATGACTTACATTCAAATTCCTCAAAGAGTTTAATTTCATCACTACCCAGGATAGGACACCCCTGTTGAGTAAAACTCTTATGTGAGGCAACCTCATGCTACTGGCAAGCCTGCATATGGGAAAGTACCTATTAATGACCCAGCTAGAGATAGGACAGCAGGATGCACACTGGAGGTACACAGGAGGTAGGGTGATATGGGCTCTCAGTGCCTCCCAAACAGGTAAAACATAATTGGCAGGGGACTTGCATGGCCTGTCTTGTACAATAAGATGAGCAGAGACATGATATATCGATTGATTTTAAAAGTATTCACTAAAATACATCATACAATTTAAATTTCTGCCACAAGTGTTTAAATGTAACAGCTGCTGAAACAGTGCCCTGATTCTTTTGATTATTTTAATATTAGTCATTCATTTCTAATCAAAGAGGAATATAAGAATACAGTACCATGATTGCAGGCCCAGTCTCTGGACCATTTGGCTCAATAGTCTATGTCAATGTTGGCCCAAAGGGATATGGATCAAAAGGAAGGATTGTGCTTCTTGACAATCCTAAAGATGCCAAACTTGAGGGTGAAGAATTTAACACAAACTGCCAGCATGATAACCTGATCATCATAGTACAGAAATTTATTACTCCCTCAAAATCCTCCCCATTTATTACTGAGAGTCCTCAAAGTGGTACATTATAAATTTCTAAAACTATCTCCTACGTACCTATAAAAATATGTTGGTGAGAGTCACAGCTGTTTCCACTCTCTTCTCTCACTGCCTCTCTGCTGCCATGACCAGTCACAAGAACAATGAGGTCCATGCCAAGGTGCTACCTCAGAGTGTTCCCAAAGACTCTAGTGCCTGGGGCCAGAACAGTCTAGTACAGGGATGATGGAAAGAGACATCCCTCCAACTGTGTCCTATTAAGTCACCGAAACTCTGAAGCAGCTCAACTTGTGGGCAGAGCCCCAAGGAGTCTTCTTTCAACAGTCCCATCAGCTTTTGACCCTTACTTGCCCAATTATAGGGACTCTTATCCAGGACAGGCAAGGTATAAATCATATATCATGCCCTTCGTATTGACAATGATAATAACAATACTAATAGCTAATGCCTACATAGCATTTATGTCAGTCACTGTTCTAAGCATTTTATATTTATTTATCATTTAATCCTCACAACGGCCCTTATATTATTATTCCCCTTTTCCAGATGAGTAAACCAAGGGCTTATGGTATTTGAACTTATATCTACAGTCTTACTGTGATGGTTAATTTTATGTGTCAACTTGACTAGGCAATAGGATGTCCAGATATCTGAGGAAACATTATTTCTGGGTGTGTCTGTGAGGATGTTTCCAGAAGAGATTAGCATATGAACTGGTGGACCAAGTAAAGCAGATGGCCCTCCCCAGGGCAGGTGGGCATCATTCAATCTGTTGAGGGCCTGATTAGACCAAAAAGGCAAAGAAGGTTGGAATCTGGCTTCTTCTGCCTTACTGCTTCAGCTGGGACATTAATCTTCCCTGTTCTGGTCACTCTTGTTCTCAGGCCTTCAGACTCAGATTGGAAACTACACCAATAGCCCTCTGTCTCTCAGGCCTTTGAACCACACCACTGGTTTTCCTAGGTTTCCAGCTTGTAGATGGATAATCATGAGACTTCACAGCCTCCATAATCAGGTGAGCCAATACCTTATCCTATATATATATAATATATATACAAAATATGCAGTATATGGACTG